GCACACACGACCGGGTCCGGGACTCGAACCACAGTCGACTACGTGGGAGTCCAGCAACACAGCCATTACGCTAACTGCTGGTCCCAACACTTAAGAACTTAATGGGGCCGGGAGATGGCATGGTGGTTAATGGCGCTGCACTCCCACATGACCAACCTGCACTCCCACATGACCAACCGTGGTTCAAGTCCCAAACCTGGCAGCTTGCTTTCTCACTTTCTCTCACTCTTGCTCTCTGTCCCTCTCTAGTTGAATTAAAATAAATAAACACATTGAAATTAAAATAAATAAATACATACATACAAACACACATATATATAAATAAAATGACTCTTGGGGGGAAAGAATTAAAATAAATAAGTAAATAAAAAAGATTCTTGATCTGATTCCCAAGAAGCTCCATCACCCCCTCCCGCACAAGCTGTGTTTCGGACACTCTGAGCCCGCTTTAATTTATTCATTCAGCAAACATCTGGTAAGAGCCTACTACACGTCAGACATACATCTAGGTTTTCTGGGCACACAAGTGAGGCCAGGTTCCTGCCTTTGCGAAGTCAACATTCTAATGGAAAAGACCAACAACAAAGAAACAGAAACACAGGATGATTTCAGAAGATGACAGATGCTTACAAACAGGGCGATGCAGGGAGAGCAGTAAGCACTAAAGTGCGAGAAGGCGCACGTTCCAGAGAAAGCTCTTGAGAGGGTGAGAACTGGGTTGGATTTGGGAGACCTATAGCTACCTGAGGGAAGAATGTTCTAGGAGGTCAAGAGAAACATATGCAAAGGCAAGAACAGAAAAGGGCTGGTATGCCTGGTGCGGAGTACATACACACATGCATGTGCATGTATGCATGTGCTGCACCCACAGGAGTGGTGAGCATTCAGGTGCTGGGGGTGGTGAAGGGGGCAATCCAGAGACGGAGGTCACAGAGATACAGACAGGAGTTACAGTGAGGATACCATATTCAAGAGTTTGGATTTTATTGTGATGTAGTCAAAAGGCACTGATGGGTCATAGCAGGAGTATGATGTGATCTAAATTATAAATTAAGCTTTGGAAAAGATCATTCTGGATGCTATGTGGATAATGCATGAGGGGGATAAAACAGAATTTCGGAAGCTACTGTAGCACTACCTACAGTTCACTGAACACAATTTGTTCCATGAAGCCACTCAGGGCTTTTTCTTCCGAGAACATCTTCCTCCCCTCCTAGATCCAGCCAGATTTCTCAGAGCTCACATGTCAACTCCTCTTCCCCAGACCCCGTCAGGAGGTGGAGAGTCCTTTTGCATTCTCGCAGCTCTGGTACCCACATCTCCTGCAGCACTGAGCACTGTGTGGCTTCCCCAATTACACTGTGAGCTATTCAAGGGTAGGAATAGTTTTTTTCAGCTCTGTTCCCAAGCCCTCAGCACATGACATGTGCATTCAATAAACTGCTGGCTTAACAAACGGGAATGGAGTAATTGTTTTACAGGCCAACACTACTGTCCTCTGCATCCACTTACTGTCACTGCACCTGCTCCTTTATCCTTCCACTCGATGATGGTCTTGCCATCCATTGGGTTGTTGGAAAAGTTATGATGCATTTTTGCACGGACAAATACGTCATGACTTTTCAGAAAACCCAATGTTATATTTCTCTAAGAAAATATAAACAATACAACAAGAACTTCCATATATGTACACCTCCACCACATCTCCAAGGCTGCAACTGTGTCCACATACTCTAGTTCCTCTCCTGCTATTATGTATGAACTGTCCATGCTCCTAAGGCTAACCCCTCCACCTGTGCATTACTTCAATTATTCCTGCCCTCTATTGCACCTAGTTTCTTTCCTCATGAGTTACTCCCAAAAGCACACAAACATCTATAATTTTTTTTGAGAGGCTTTTGCTATAGGGCGTGTGTGCTTGCCAGACAGACAGAGAGAGACAGAGAGACAGAAAGCGAGAAATCACCCCCCAGGGGGGGATGGTCACGCCGCAATCCCTTCTCCTCCATTCTCCTCTCGGGATCTTGGGCATGCACGCACACGCGCCTGGCGTGAGTTTAAGCCACCGGGTCTGGGACTTGAATTGCGGTCAACTACATGGAGTCCAGCGACATAGCCATTATGCTAACTGTTGGTCCTAACATCTATAATATTTCACATCTTAAATTTTAGGAAGAAAGGGACTAACTGGTGGCATAGTGGTTAAGGTGCTGGACTCCCACATGGCTGACCATGGTCCGAGCTCCAAACACAGAAACTTGAACCTCACTGAAGTCACATGTGTGTATGCATGCCCGCAATCACAGAAGAGAGGAGAAGGGGTTGCAGCATGGCCAGACCCCCTGGGGGAAGCTTTCTCACTGTCTTTCTCTCTGCACTCTTGTGTCTCCGGCAAGTACACAGGCCCTATATAGCAAAAAAAAAAAAAAAAATTTTTTTTTGAGAAAAAAAATTCCTTGAGGGACTGGCAGGTGGCGTGGTGGTTAAAGGTGCTGGATTCCCATACGGCCAACCATGATTCAAGTCCTAGACCTGGCAGCTTGCTTTCTCACTTTCCTTTTCTCTCTCTTTCTCTGTCTGATCAAATTATTAAAATAATAACAACAAGTGGAATTAAATATATTATTTTTTTTAAAAAAGAAAGAAAAAAATTTCTTGAAATCCCTCATCAGTGACCAGCCTCAGCACAACAGTTCAGTACTGTGCATGGGGAGCTGGCTCCCACAAGGTCAACCGTGGTTTGGAGTCCTAGCCTCAGTAGCTTGAAAAATATGCCAGACACGTGCATGTGTACCCAAAATCCTGACTTGATAGAGAAATGGGGGTAAAGGATGGGTAAAACACACCCCACTGGGGGTGCTTTCTCATTCTCTCACTTTGGTGAAAGCATGCAAACTGGCAAAGAAAGAAAGGAAGGAGAAAGAGAGAGAGAGAAATACCACATCACCCTCTTGATACCATTCCATTGTTCTGCCTCCCTTTATCGAACTCTTTGAAAGAGTTGATTAAACCCGTTATTCTTTTCCTTCTCTCTTTCTTTATTCCATTCTAATCTAGCTTTATTCATCCACTCTACCCCCCTATCCCGTGGAGACAGGTCTTATCCAGATCACCAAGGATCTCTATATTGAGAAAAGTAACTGGTAATTCTCAACCCTTATCCCAGCTGACCTGTAAGCAGATTTTGACATGGTTGATCACTCCATGCTTCTTGAAAACAGTGTCTTTCCTGTGCAGAAATTTTTCTGGACAATCCACCAAGTTGTTTTGCAGCCCAATGGCCACCTCTTTATATTCAGAAAGGTCAACCTGTGACACAGTATCCCATCTACTTACCAGAGCCAAGTAGTTGAGTGTGCACAGTCTCATGGAAAATGATAACTGCAGGGCCAAGAGTAGATAAGGGGACATCGAGGCCACAGCGGGCAGTGGTAGCCTTGAGCTCCTTGGTGAAGTGCTTCAGATAAGCTTCTGAAGCATCCCCGAGGAATTTGAAGAGGTCATTATGCAGCCGGTCTGCATGAGTTCGATAGATAACAAGGTCTGAGATGGCTAGGACCTTTAGTAGTAGCCGTGTTCTCTGGCTTAGATTCACAGTAGCCCCTAAGAGCCCTTCTGTGTCTATCACTGCTACTTTGTGGACTGGGTCGTAGGCTGCCCACACTCCCACTGTGCAAGACTCCTGGGCAGGAGAAGTTTTAAAGACTTCACGGCCATAAAAGAAAGTATGTTTGAAGGTATGAGACTTTCCATCACCAGTATTTCCAAAAATAGAAACCACCTTCAGATGCTGATCAGGTTTGCAGTCTAATTTCCTAATAAAGTCCTCTTCATTTGTTACCTTCAAAAGAAAAAAAAAAGAAAGACAATGAAATATTGTAACTACAAGAGCACTAAACACACTACAAAGAGAAGTGCTGGGGCCAGCCCCATAGTGCAGCAGTTAAGCACTCTGCATACAGAAGCAAGCCAGATCCCATATGGCCAGCCAGGGTTTGGATCCTGGCCCCAACAACTAGAAAGCACAGTACACTTATATACATGCCCAGGATCCTGAAGGGATGGATAACTGGAGAAAAAAGATTATACCATAACCAGGCCCCATCAGGGAGTTCTCTCTCCCATGCACACATATGTGCAGAAGCACCCTCTGGCATTAGAAGAAAAAAAGAAAAAAAAAAAAAGAGCTTTCCAGGGTCAAAATCTTTGACTGACCTGTCAAGGTATGAAGGAAAAAAAGCATCAGCAAAGAGCCTTTCCCCAACCTCCCACTCAGAACAAACACCTCAAAAGAGCCTCTGAAACTTGAGTTAGAGTCATAAAAGTACTAGAATTATAAAAGTCTTACAAGAAAATATAGGATCAATGTTTGTGACCTTGGATTGTACAACAGTATCTTAGATATGACACCAAAGCACAGCAACAAAAGGAAAAAAAAAAACAATAAATTAAGACTTGATCAAAATGAAAAACATTATAGGACCAGAAGGTGGCATGGTGGTTAAGGCGTTGGACACTTCCGCATGGTCGACCACAGTTCGAGTCCCAGACCTGGTGGCTTACTTTCTCACTTTCTCTCTCTCTCTTTCTCTGGCTGATTAGATTGGAAAATAATAATAATAAGTAAGGTTAAATAAAATGATTCTTAAAAAAAAAAAAAAAAACGAAAACCATTGTGCTGCAAAGCTCACCACAGGACAACACGTGGGGCCTGGCAAGATGGCATGGTGGCTGAGGTGCTAGATTCCCATATGGAATGGCTGACAGTAGTTCAAGTCCTGGACCAGACAGATTGTTTTTTCACTTTCTCTCTCTGTTTCTTTCTGGTCAAATTAAAAATAATAATAATAATGATAAGTAAATTAAATAATTTTCTAAAAAAGGAAGAAAAGACAACCCACAAAATGGAATAAAATATAAATCATATTTTTGGTAAGAGACTAGTGTTCAAAATATATAAAGAACTTTCGAATCAATAATGAAGACAAATAATCCAATCAACTCTGAAATGACATGTCTCCATAGAAGATAGAAACCATTTAATATCTACTAGAATGGCTATGATCAGAAAGATAATACCAAGTGAGGACAAAGATAGAGAAACTACAATGCAGACTGTTGGTGGGAATGAGAAATGGGACAGCCGCTCTAGAAAAGTCTAGCAGTTCCTTAAAAAGTCATACCTTGGGAACCAGCAGTTAGCGTAATGGCTACGTCGCTGGACTTCCACATAGTCAACCGCAGTTCGCGTCCCGGACCCGGTGGCTTAAAACTCACGCCACGCGCATGTGCGTGCGTGCCCAAGATCCCGAGAGGAGAATGGAGGAGAAGGGACTGAGGCGTGGCCATCTCCTATGGGGGTGATTTCTCGCTTTCTGTCTCTCTGTCTGTCTCTGTCTGTCTGGCGAGCGCACGCACCCTATAGTGAAAATCTCTCAAAAAAAAAAAAAGTCATACCTCAAGTTACAACATGACTCAGCAATTCTATTGTTAGGTATATACAACAGAATTGAATGGGACCAGAGGGTGGTGTGGCAGTTAAAGTGCTGGATACTCCCATATGGCTGACCAAGGTTTGAGTCCTGGACCTGGTGGCTTGCTTTCTCACTTTCTCTCTCTCTCTCTCTCTCTCTCTCTCTCTGTGTGTCTCTCCGGTCAAATTTAAGTAAGTGAATGAATAAATAAAATTAAATTTGAAAAATTAAAAAAGGAATTATTAAAAAAAAAAAGCAAGCATATGTCCACACAAAACTTGTATATACATGACTGTTCACAGCAGCATGACCCATAATAGCCAAAAAGTACAAACAATCCAAATGCCTATCAACTGATAAATGGATAAGTAAAATAGGGAATATAACCAAACTCTGAAACACGACTGAGCCATAGAAAAGAAATTACCTATTTCTCACCTGTTAATTCATTATGTGTCTCTTATTTTCACCTTTAGAACATTTCTTAAGCATGTCCTTACTTTGACTTGATTCGGTGGAAATTCTCATTTATGCCTAAATTGTTCCCATAATGATCATACCAGTTGAGAACTTTCCAAATTTCTTTCTCACTACATTTCAGAGGGGGATTAGAATGCTTTGATGAGAAAGCTAAATAGTGTGATTGAATGTATTTAAAAAATGTAAATAAAAATAAATAAATAAAATTTAAAAAATAAAAAAGAATGCTTTGGCGAGAGACCAGCAGGTGGCATGGTGGTTAAGGCGCTGAACTTCCAAGTGGTTGACTATGGTTCGAGTTCCAGACCTGCTGGCTTGCTTTCTCACCCTTTCTGTCGCTGGTCAAATTCAAAAATAATAATAATAAATAAAATAATTCTTATTAAAAAAAAAGAGTGCTATGGTGAGATTACACATTCATATTGTTGGAAAATAATGTGCACTGTGTTGAAGTAATATCTACCGGCCTAGCTTTTTTTTCCCAACTGTACTGTTTCTCTATTGATTTCCTATGACTGGTTAGAAAATGGACAAGGCTCAGTGCCAGCAGGTGGAATAGTGGTTACATCACTGGACTCCTCCATGGCTGACTACAGTTTGAATCCTGGACTCGATGGCTCAAAATCACACTGTGTATATATGTGTGTGTGTGTGTGTCCAAGATCCCAGGAGGAGGATGGAGAAGAAGGGATTGTGGCATAGCCATAATCTTTGGGGGTGATTTCTTACTTTCCCTCTCACTGTCTCTCTTTCTGGTGAACACACAAAAACCTCTTTAAAAAAAAAAAAAAAAAGAAATACAAAAGAAAATGGAGGAGACTATTCAGAAGCAATAGTACATATGAAAGATTTTACTAAAAAATGTATTCCGAATCATTTCAGTTTTTTCCGAAAAGAAAAATTACAATAGCAAATTTTCCTTAAATCTGTTGTAATCTTTTAAGTTTCACTTATCTAACCCTAGACTAGAAAATGAGAAATAAAGTGAAATATATAATCACATTACTCTTTTGAGAGAGTTTTTTTTCTTTTTTAAGAATTATTTAACATTATTTATTGTTATTCTCCAGTTTGATCAGGGAGAGATAGAGAGGGAGACAGAGAGAGAGAAAGTGAGAAAGCAAGCCACCAGAGGTCCAGGACTTGAACCATGGTAGGCCATGCGGGAACCCAGCGCCTTTAACCACCACACCACCTGCCGGCCCGTTTTTTTATTTAAAGAATTATTTTATTTATTTACTTATTTATTATTTTTGGAGAGGTTTTTGCTATAGGGCACATGTGCTTGCCAGAAAGACAGAGAGACAGAGAGATAGAAAGCAAGAAATCACCCTTCAGGGGGTATGGCACGCCTCAATCCCTTCTCCTCCATTATCCTCTTGGGATCTTGGGCACACACACACACGTGCCCGGCATGAGTTTAAGCCACCGGGTCCAGACTCGAACCGCGGTCAACTATGTGGGAGTCCAGCAACATAGTCATTACATCAATTGCTGGTCCCAAGAATTATTTTATTAACTTTATTTATTTATTTACTTATTTTAATTTGACCAGAAAGGGACAGAGTGCTCACATGTGTGAGAAAGAATGAGAAACAGAGAGACGGAAAATGAGAAAGCAAGTCATCAGGTCTGGGACTTGAACTGTAATCAGCCATGTGGGAGTCCAGCGCCCCTCTGGCCCAAGAGAGCTTTTTGTTGTAGAGTATGTGCACTCACTGGAGAGACAGAGAGACAGAGAGGAATCAACCCCCCAAGGGAATGGCCATGCTACAATCCCTTCTCCTCCATCCTCCTCTCAGGATCTTGGGAACATACGTATGCACACATGCCTGGTATGAGTTTTAAGCCACCGGGTCCAGGACTGGAAACAAGGTAGACTATGTGAGAGTCCAGCAACATAACCAGTATGCCATCTACTGGTGCCCACATTTCTCTCTTTTAAATGCTTACTTGGAGACGGACTGTCGTACAGCCTAACAATGACCCATGAGGCTGATCCACATGGGGAGTTTCTTAGTACATATCCAGAGACTTCCCTGAACAGGTGAATGCACAGTGCCCATGGCCTATAGCTGGCTGAAGCTACGAGTGGATTCTAACATCAAGACCCTGATGAGGGGCCGGCAGGTGGAATGGTGGTTAAGGGCATTGGACTCCAACATGGCTGACTAGTCTGAGTCCTGGACCTGGCAATTTGCTTTCTCACCTTCCCCTACTCTCTCTCTAGGTCCCTCTCAGATCAAATTAAAATAAATAAAATTAAATAATAATTAAAATAAATCTTGTTGGGACGGGCTCGCTTCATGGCCTCATGGTTAAAGCTGCTGGATCCCACATGACTGAGCACGCAGCTCAGTTCCCAGCCCCGGCAGCTTAATAACATGCCACATGTGTTGGGGACGGGCAGTTAGTTAGCATAATAGCTATGTCGCTGGACTCCCATATAGTCGACCGCGGTTCAAGTTCCAGACCCGGTGGCTTAAACTCAAGCCAGGCATGTGTGCGTGCGTGCCCAAGATCCCGAGAGGAGAATGGAGGAGAAGAGACTGCGGGGTGGCCATCCTCCCCTGGGGGGTGATTTCTCACTTTCTGTCTCTGCTGCTCTATCTCTCTCTGTCTTTCTGGCAAGCGCACGCGCCCTATAGCAAAAACCACTCCAAAAAGAAAAAAAAAAAAGCCACGTGTATATGCATGCCAAAAATCCCAAGAGGAATGGAAAGAAGAAACTGAAGTGTGACCATGCCCTATGGGGGATGCTTTCTCCCTCTCTCTCTGCCCCCCCTCTGGTGAACACATGCACACCCCCAAGTTGAAGGGGGAAAAAAAGTGTGTCTCCTTTCTTCACTCGCTCATGTAAGAAATTAACTTTTAAAAAAAGATGCTT